GCAAAGAGTGCCTTAAGTGAGGTTCACATCACATCTACTCATACGATCTAGTCCAAACCTCTCACATATTACATGAGGCACTTTTAAACTGTAAAAAAGTGCATTTGAGATCAGGCAGTAGCACCATTTGTTTATGAGGTCACTTTTATCAGCTGGTTTCTCACTTCCTCCTCCTTCCACAATATTGGCCTTGGCATCCTGCGCCCCCTACAAGAAAAGACACTGTCAGTACCACCACTACTGATAACAGTCTGTCATGTTTACACTTTTTTTATTTGAACTACAACCAGTTTTAGAATCACTGAGAAACTATTATACTTTTTATTAATATTTTGAATTTGTTTTTATTTTTATACTTTCTGTTTCCATTTTAATTTCAGTTAAAGTTTTAGTAATTTAGTTGTTTTTGCCTTTTTGAATTGTCTATATTTTTGTTCATTTTTATTTCAGTTTTAGTTATTTTTGAACATCAAGTTAAACTAAATAAAAATCAGGAATGTTTCCTTGGCAATTAGAAAAAGAAGTTTAATAAGTAAGGAAAAAATAAGTTTAAGGTTTTTTTTATATTTTACTGTATTTTATTTCAATTAAAGTTTATTTTATTTCAAGTAACAAAATGGTGTTATGGTTTTAGATTTAGTTCACTATAATAATCACAATATATACATAATAAACTTCTATGGTATTTTGGCTCACACTTTCATTTTAGGCTCATAATTTCAATATAAAATTTGCGTGCAACCCATTTTACATTTACTTGGAATAACATGCACTGAAGAGCCATTTATAAGACCAGGAATGTGTATTATGAAAGTAAGTGGTGTCAATTTCATTTTGATTTTAAAGTTGGTTCGTTGTTTTCTGTGGTTTGATTTCTTTGGACATAAAACAAACTTGGGCAACTAAAATTCATTGTTTCAACAGGTTTTTGCAGTATGGACTAGAGGCTGCACAGACTAGTCGACTTTAATGCTCTGCCATGACGCTTTAAAAAAAACAGGAAAAGATCAGCCGTTTATCAGAGAAGGGACAGAGCGGTGTGGAATAAAGGTAAATTATGTGAAATATAATGCGTTTTTTTTTAAACGAAGCATTAACATGTTAGACTGCACCCCATAAACACAATCAAGCCTAGAAAAAAAACAGTGAACCACCCCTTTAAGCTTGATGTCGACTAGTCGCTAGTCCCATAGAGGGCACAACAGGATATGTATGGTCAACACTGTTCTGTGATTTCTCAATAAATTATAAACTGAAAATTCTTAGTAATTAAAACCCACAGCTTCACTATTAGTAGAGAGACGCTGCCAGGTAGAATTAATTCACATACGCAGTCGCTCTCTGACTAATGTATTCATATAAATGCAATCTTTGCTGTGCTACTGTTACGGGGCTGACGAGACGTGAGTCGTGCGGATCCATAATGTCTCCTTTAAGTACCTCTGTAGCCTCCTGCGCCTAGAAAGCCTTGAAGAGCTGCATATTTGGCTGCTTTTGCTATAAAGAATCATACAACACACATGTACATGCAATAAATACTTGTGATTGGTTGTGGATAATGTACAGGTCTAGACAAAAATCTAATTTTATCATTTGCTGCATTTGAAATATTAGCTAACAATGAGTGTGGTGTAACAACATTGCTGAGGTGTAAGTGGAGCACTTCCAGGTCCCCCTGCACCAGTGCCACCATAACCTACAATACAATATAATATAAGCACAACTCTTCATTAATCACACTGAACCATTGATCACTGTAACACATTGGTACAGTAAACCATCACACACCACCTAAATTTTGCTCTAGTGTTTGATTCAGAATGTTTTTAAGGATAATGTGGATGTATTTGTCGGCTATGACTTTTGTCATGATTTGGTTTTGAAGTCCAGCGTTAAGTTTCCACAGTCTGTGATGATTTGGGGTTCAATGTCATCTCCTGGTGTTGGTCCATTGTGTTATTTGAAAACCAACGTCACTGTACCCATTTACAAATAAATTTTGGAGCACTTCATGGTTCCTTCTGCTGACCAGCTTTTTGAAGATGCTG